GGGAGCATAAACGGAAATTACAAACAAACAGCGTTTTGTACTACTTGGTGAATCAACCTTACCTGATGTCGTCAAACGGGCTGCATATAAACGACTGTTCACCGGAATCCGATCAACCAACGATGGTACAGCCTTGGAGCTTAGAATGATACCTACACCAGCTTGACCAGAGTGTGCTGCATCGGCGTCTCCGGGTGCGTGTAACCAATAACGGGAGGATAAACCGGGTGCAGTTAATTCAATAACACCGTTAGGGTCATTGATCCTAGTTTCGGACACACAACACACATCAATACCTAGTGTGTCCAAGGTGCGTGAGAGTGCAGCCTGTTGACCTGTTTGTCTCAGAGTGCGAACGTTGAATGTCGCCAGGGAAACGGGACAGCGTGGACTTATAAGGGACTTTTGCTGATAGGCGTCCGATAGGTGCGGTGGGATGGTGGCTGCAGATGGTTCTACTCCAGTGGCACTTCGGTTGCTGTCAATTAAGCTGGGAATTATAGAAGGAAGGTTAGTAATGGGGGTTGGGATGGGAGTAAGAGAAAAAGGTGGAAAAGAAAGAAGGGAGGCGCCAGCAGTAGCATATTTTCGCTTATCCGCCCTGCTGTATGCAGCAGATAAGACGACCCTTGATAATCTGCGCGACGGCCGATGCAAAATGAAGTTTATGTTTGAAGAAAATGTCATGGTTGTACGTGGGCTGAGATACTGCCAGGGTGCCCAGACCTAGACAGGACAATTAGGGTCCTCATCCAAAGCCTTTGGCTCAAAAGCCTGTCCGCAAGGCAGCGGGGAGGTGGCAATGATTTAGTTTTACAGAAATAGACACCATCCCATTTCAAACCCTCAACCTGGAGGACCAGGAGACTGAGTTTGTCTGACGTCTCACCATTGACCAACCTGGTAGGAGTAGCTCTCAAGGTGCCCGGAGGCATCACCCAGTATAGCTCAATGGGTCAATGAGGTACGCAAACCGTCGCACCACGTTAAGGTCCAGTCTCGTTGCGACGCACCCTTGAAGTTGAGGAACACAGCTATTGTCGGCCTGCGGTATGTGTTGCGCTGCTCTAGCACCTGCCGCAGTCTATACAACCATGTCTTTGGCGGAAACCTGTCTTCTCTTCCCGACTCAGAGATTCCTGTTCCACAGTGAGGCGACGAACGAGAATCGAGGCCAGTAATTTTGTCACAACTGGCGTTAGGCTTATACTCCTGTGGTTAGCACGGTCAGTGCGAATTCCGTTCTCGTAGATTATCACCAGAATAGATTCACTCCAGTTAGTCGGGACATTCGCTTCCTTCCAGACCAGTTCGAACAGTTAGGCCAGTGTTTTGCAGAGGACCTCGCCTCATCCTTAAATAGTGCAGGTGGGAGGGAATCCTGGCCAGCAGCACAAAAACGATTGAGGGCTGTGATCGAGTTTCGGACCTCAACCTCCGATGGAGCCTCTAAACTAACAACCCATGGCTCGTCTTGCATCACTTCGGTAGGAAGAGGTCGGGGAGCAGGGGGCCAACTGAACTGATCTTGAAAGTGTTCTGAACAACGAGCCATACGGCACTCATTATTACGTATCAGTTCACCCGCGCTGTCTCTGGTTGTCACACTGACTCCTGATTTCCTCGGACCGGTGGTGCGGATCAGCTGCAAAAGATTGTCATAATTGCTTGCTGCTCCTGCCTCCTCCACTACTTGAGCCCGACTGGTCCACTAGACTTTCTTGTCACCACGCACGCTCCCATTTAGTTCGCGCCCAATAGTCCGTCGGGTCACATTATGCACAGAGCCAGCCAGGAGTTTTCTTCTGGATTCCGACAATTTCACCGACCTCTCGGATTGGTGCGGTGACGATTTATAGTGCCACAAGCAGACGCTCCTGCGTCATTTATGGCGCCCGCGATCCTATTCAACAGAAGCTCAGTGTCATTAGGACGTTACATCACGGCTGGTGCCGGTAGTGGAGATGAAGTCTAACAACGGGTTGTAAAGCCTGCCTTGCATTCATCAAAACGAGACACCTACGGCGTCGTCGTGATGTCAGTCTCAAGTTCAAGGGTAAGGTGTGCAATGCTTCCGTCCGTACAGCACTTTTGTACGGCTGAGACTTGGCCTATTCGCTCGGAAGACATGAAGCGGTTGTCAGTCTTCGACAATCGCTGTCTACGAAAGATTGCTCAGGTGTGGTGGCAACAACACGTAAGCAACGCAGAGGTCTGAGACCGAGTGCTTGGAGCATCACCATCACCATCAACAACAACAGTACATCAGCCATTTGAACTGATGCTTCGCTACCATACAACCACGATGACCTATGAAATAAAGAATAATAAGAGGGAGAGAAGGGGAACTTACCTGAAAACCTTAATGCCCTAAGCAAACATTCAGGGTCAAGGCACCTACAACTTGTGTAGACAACATACTGTCACAAACAGCTGGCTATCGTGCAAAGATAAGGCGGCATCCGCCAGACAGCTTCGTTACGGTTTTCACTGACACGCGTCATAATCAGCCATTATCACGCAGATAACTCAGCACCAAACACACTTTGAACAGGCAATCCGATTAGGAGACAACAGCAGACGCGCCACTGGTGTCGGTTGCGAGCCATGTCCTGTAAAGTCTAAAGCCAAGCACAAGGCGAGTCATGTGGACTCCAGCCGGGAAGGCGAGATGGACCAACAGCACCCAGTCTGCTCGTTAGTGACTTCACTTCCCGCTGCCAAGTCAACTTCTGTCCAACTCGAGCTTTGCGCCACCCTACACCTGGTAGGCCAAACAACGCCCTCCTACGTAAGCGGAATCCGCGGGTCAGCACATCCAAGTGCATGGTTGGTGTCCACACATGTGCTCCAAATCGAGCGACAGTTCTGGGCGCAGCCCCTCCATCGGTAACTTATCGCAATGTGATCGATTTGCATCCATATCTGATTAGACGTTGGCGGGCGCCAAGTCACCCTCCGGCGAGTGCTGCGTCGCAAATTAGTGCTCGCAAGAAATAAGCGAGCATTTTCACACAAATGAAGTAACCGCTCACCATTATCATTACGTGAGCCTACACCATATTGGCCGCCCAGATGCAGTTCATCAGTGGATAATTTTCCAACTTGAGCGTTCAAATCCCCAGCCAGCACAACGGTGTCCGAGCTTCTTCTGTGTCGAAGGAGCTCGTTCAAGTGGCGATGGAAGTCGGCTTTTAGCAAATAATCGTTAGACTTTGTGGGTGCATAGGCAGCGATGACGAATAGACACGTATTAGCCCCGCGCGACTTCGAAGCTTTGAACGAGCCAGCCAATCTGACCGCACACATCCGGCTACTGATTGGAATCCAATCAACCAGAGCAGCTTCAGCCCGGGGACTCAGACCAATGCCAACATCAGCTTGGCCGGTGCTCGAAGCTGCATCGTCACCGGATGAGCGCAGTGAGAAAACACTGCTTGCGTCATCTGAAGGGGATCGCAGAGTGAACACAGAGCTGGAGTCTTGCAGGCGGGTCTCCGATAAGCAGCGGATGTCGATCGAGAAGGTCTCTAATGTTCGGGCAAGTGCTGCCTGTTGACCGATCTGTAGCAATGTGTGTACATTAAGGCATGCCAATCCGAAGGATGATCGAGGGCTCCAAATGGAAGTCGATGAACTGGGCTTGGCCGCTTGGTTGGACATGGGCTTGTCGACAGGACAGGAATGACGCTCCGCGTTCACGGGTGAGTTGAAACTAGAAGGTAAAAGCCTAGCAAAGCACGATGGGAGAGGGCCAAGAATTAAGGGGTTGAAAACTGGGGGGATAAAAGCGAAGCTGGAACGGGACGGTAAGAGAGAAGAGGCATAAGAGGGGGAAAAAGAAGATGGAAAGGCTTGAGCAGTAGAATCCAAACCCCTATCCACCCTGTTCGATGCAGCAGATAGGGCACCGTTGATTATCCTCTGCGGTGGCCAGAGCATCAAGAAACTGTTTGAAGAGAAGTTCAGGGCGAAAGACGGGTCGAGTGACGTGATTACGACTCACGAGACTCTCAATAAACGGCGCAATAGCTTTTGAGAGGGAGCGATAAGTCGAAAAAGAAAAAAATCGCGCTTACAGATATTCAAAAATACACAAAAGTGATGAACCTGAATGACATGACATTAAGATACCAGTGTTACCCAGAAGCAAACTTTTAACTAGTGAAGAGATCCATCAAAGGCTGTGTGCAGGCATCAGAAGTGAAATTGAAGAACCTATGCAAAGAGAAATATAAAAGCTTAGCATAAGCGCAATTTAGCCGTGCATATCTGATCTGAAGGAAAAAGTGTGGTATTTCTAGCTGCTAGGACCTGCAATATCATGATAAAAGTCGAACGCGGATGGAAAAAAGCAGAGGGATAAAAGAAAAACATTTGTGCAAAAGATCAATGTTCATGAGTGTATTCCCCCTAAAAAATGAATTCGGGTCCATTGTGTTTTTGTGTGGCAAAGCAAATCGCGGAAAATGTGGCCGCGGTGTGGTTTACCAGTGTCAGTCTGCAGAATGAGAGATGAGCTTCCGAGTAATGATAATCAGATGGTGTTGGATACCTAAAGTAGAAAATTCGCTGAGTTGCGTTATACACAACGGTGTTCCGTTGTGCTGATGTAAAGTCTATAAGCTTGCGCCAGTGACTTATATCAGTGCGAATCCAGGAAGAAAGTAGGGGACTAGTGGTCAGAGCTCGGTGGAACAAAACAGAAGGGACCAAGCAGCATAAATTGGGCTAGGAGAGAATTTAGCGTATTAATAAAATGCTCGTAGTACGCAAGGCACCGCAAAATAAGTCAGATTCGGAGGAAGGTTCCATAGCTAGGAAACAGAAACGGAATTCAATGAAAATCAAAATGCAGAGGGCAACAAGTAGCAAAAGAAGAAAACGCGGTGAAATTCATCATCATCATCATACTTGTTAGCTGCGGGTGAAGAACACCTCAGCTATTGTGTCGGTGAAATTACACATCCACAACTCATTACGGACGCGGATGAACTCACTCGGTGCACGGGTGTGTGCAGAAGGTCTGTTTTACATAACTGTGATCCACACCCCCTTCAGAGACTTCCGATTTCGTGCGAATTTTTCCGCACACTTCATCGCAACCATGGGGGATGCTTGTGCGAGCTGGATGATATTCTGGATCGCGGATCCGGCGACAGAAGCAAACGTAGTTAATTTCCGCCACAGTACTTAATTGTTTGGTTTGGCATGAAGGACAACGCCAGGTAGCGTGCGTGGTTGTGGTTGATGAGTCTGAGGTACACTTCTGAGCCCAGGATTTGATGCAAGGTAGGTGATAAATATGGTAGCAGGTGGTACAAGACCAAACGGAATCCCGTTGCCGTACATTAGAGATGCAAATCAGACATTGATAGGTACCAGCTCGGAGGTGATCAATGAGCTTTTCTGCAAGAAAACAAAAACAGGGGCTATGCTGACGCTAATAACATACATAAGATAACAAGTGAATGAGTTTACTAGCAGGCAATTGCGAGGACAGTTCTACGTAAGGAACCACGTAGCATTAAGATATGCACGCTAACCAAGATTTAGCTTTTCCTTATTCTGATGACAGGTGGTTCAAATAAATTGGATAAAAAGAACGAGGAACAAGAAGAAGTAAAGCATAAAATCACAAAAACTGACGGAGGAATAGTGGTTTCTGTTTGTGTATCAAAAATTGCTAGTTTGGTCGTGAACATCTAGTTCCGAAATAAGGAAAAATCGTCAGTGTACAGTTAGTCAACTGCAAATTGATGAGGCGGGTGCAATCGAACTGGCGAGCTACGGAAATGTAAATGCGCGTCGTTCACAGGATGGGAATTGGTGGCAACTTCATGAGGCATACCAGTGTGCAGAAAATGAAGTCATCACCTGACCGACGGCGACTCATATAAGATGTGATGTGATGTGGATGAGCTTACTTATACGAATATCTAATCAAAGTGATCTAACGAGATACCAACAAGCGTGTGTAGCGCAGCTTTAGAAGCGGAGGGTATATAACAAAACATGGACAAACCTCTTAGGTTATGGTGAACAATGGAATGGGAAGAGAGAGTAGAGGTGGTTGTGGAATGCAGTCCAGACACTGGCTCTAGATTCGAAGAATCAAGCGGTTTCTCGATGGTTACTTCTGGGGAAGCATCACGACTAGGTGGCGGTAACGAGGGTGTGTGATGAACCCCTGGCGCATTCGCACGGTTCCCTCTATTTTTGTTCTGAATCCTATATGGTCGATCTGTTCGGTTGGAAGAGGGGTCGTGAAGTGAATCACTCCGAGGTGCTTCAGAGCTGAAAGACCCAGGATAAGGATGAAAGTGAGAGCTTTGTGGACGATGAGCGAAACGTTGAAAAGCATGCGGAGGATTGTGGAATCCTATACCAGCGCCTTGTCTTGAAGGCCGTCCACTATGGTGTCTGAATGGAGGGGCGTAAAAGTCTTGAGCAACGCTGGTGAAATTGAAGTCGTAAAGGGCAGAGTGACGGACAGGCATGTAAGCATACTCGTGAGCAGTGGGAAAGTATGGTGGTGGGAATGTTTGTGGCATGTAGCGTGCACGACTCCAGTTGCCCTGTTGCGACAATCCGGGAACCGGCCGCTGCGGTGGGTATTCGGGATAGCCAGTGTCTCTTCCATATGGAAACATAATTGCGCTAAAAATGGAGTGGAAAAGAAATTGCAGTGACAACGCAATACGGTTTTTATCATAGCACAGATCAAGTGTTAAAGAGAACGTTAATCTTGATCATATATTCGACTGATCCCTGGGGAATGTGAGACAGCAGTCGTGAGTTTTCCATTCAGGGGCAGAAAAGGTTAGTTCGGTCTCAAATACTAGCGAATACGATATGGATCACCGGAGGAAATTTAGCCAAGCAGTAAGGGAAAACAGTAGATAGAGGTTAAGAAAAAAGCACGGACGAGTTGCGTCCATAAAAGCAGAACATTGTGGAGCACATGTCGGGGGAATAGAAAGTGAATGTGCAGTGTAAAAAGCTGGGGCAAAAATAGAGACGTGTGGTGCTGCGTCCAGCTGTGCAACTGTGTGTACCGTTCAGTAAATCAGATATAAGCTAAGTACTAAGGTACGGTGGAATCAGGCACTACGCCTCACGTTAGCTCGATTAGCAAAAAGATGACAACGGTCAGGGAACATAGGAAGTATATACAGAGACATACGAAAATCAAAAGCAAGTAGAGCTAGAAAGGAGTAATAACCAAGGTGGAAGCAAAGTGTCCAACAAATACCAAAAGTCACACACGGTAGCTATGCCTATTCTAAGCCATGCATTTAGTAAACCAGCGAGGAACAACACGATCTTGGTCAATCAACAACAGCAGTACATCAGCCATTTGAACTGATGCTTCGCCGGCTTGCCGAACAACCTCCTCGTGGTGCCAGCTGGGTGGTTCGGGATTTTTTCGTTCCAGCAAATGGTTCGGCGGCAGTGTTACAGAACGTGGTGCGTTTTCGCCTGGCAAGCGTTCTCCCAGTAAAAAGCCACATATGTCCGTTTAACAACACTGTGATGTGGCGGACGTGACGCGCCACTAAATAAAGTCATGGCCCCTTGATTCATCCTGGCGTAGCATTGTATTCCAGCAAAGTTAGCTTGTAATTCTGGGCCCTGTTTGACAAAGGAACAAACGAAAGGCGTATGAACTGATCAACCAGTCAACCGCTCCCAATGGGCGCGATTCCCTGAATTCGATCCGCTGCCTTGCGGGCGACGGATTGCGTACCTCATTGACCCATTGAGCTATACTGGGTGATGCCTCCGAGCATCTTGAGAGCAACTCCAACCAGGCTGGTCAAAGGTGAGAGGTCAGACAAACAGTCTCCTGGTCCTCCAGGTTGGAGGTTTGAAATGGGACGGCGTCCATTTCTGTAAAACTAAATCACGGCCACAACGCTGCCTTGCGGACAGGCTTTCGAGCCAAAGGCTTTGGATGAGCACCCTAATCGTCCTCCTGTCTAGGTCATGGCATCCTAGCAGTATCTCAGCCCACATAAAACCATGACATTTTCTTCAAATATAAACTTCATCCTGCATCGGCCGTCGCGCAGATTATCATGGGTCGCCTTATCTGCTGCATACAGCAGGGCGGATAAGCGAAAACATGCTACTGTTGGCGCCAGCTTCCTTATTTCCACCTTTTTCTCTTACTCCCATCCCGGCCCCTATTACTAACCTTCCTTCTATAATTCCCAGCTTAACTGACAGCAACAGAAGCCCTACTGAGGTAGTACAACCTGCAGCCACCATCCCACCGCACCTATCGGACGCCTCTCCGCAAAAATTCCCTTATAAAGCCACGCTGTCCGTTTCCATGGCGACATTCAACGTCGGTATTCTGAGACAAACAAGTCAGCAGCCTGCACTCTCACGCACCTACATCATCATCATCAACAGCAGTACATCAGCCATTTGAACTGATGCTTCGCTACCATACAACCATGAGGACCTATGAAATAAATAATAAGAAGTGGGAGAGAAGGGGGACTTACCTGAAAACCTTAATGCCCTATGCAAACATTCTGGGTCAAGGCGCCTACACCTTGTGTTAACAACATACTGTCACAAACAGCTGGCTATCGTGCAAAGAGAAGGCGGCATCGGCGAGACAGCTTCCTTGCGGCTTTCACTGCCACGCGTCATAATCAGCCATTACCACGCAGATAACTCAGCACCAAACACACTTTAAACAGACAATCCGATTAGGAGACAACAGCAGACGCGCCACTGGTGTCGGTTGCGAGCCATGTCCTGTAAAGTCTAAAGCCAAGCACAAGGTGAGTCACGTGGACTCCAACCCGGAAGGCGAGACGGACCACCGACCTCCAGTTTGGTCGTCAGTGACTTCATTTCCCGCTGCCAAATCAACTTCTGTCCACCTCGAGTCTTGCGCCACTACACCTGGCAGAATGAACAAGGCCCTCCTAGGTAAGCGGTGACCAGGCATGCGTAGCACGTGCCCCAGCCAAAGCAACCTATTCAGTGCTATCTGCTGTTCTATAGAACTAGCATGATTATCACCACCTAGTACTCGCCTACGCACATCATCGTTGCGGACACGCTGGTGCCATCCGACACCAGCAATGCTTCGCAAACAACGATGATCAAAGACTTGAAGGCGCCTCAGATCTTCAGACCGAAGGGGCCAAGTCTCACTACCATAGAGCAGAACGGCCCTCACTGTGGCCTTGTATACACGGCCTTTCAGAGGGAGGAAAACTCCCTTCTGTCGCCAAACATGACGCAGGTTCAAGAAAGCAGCTCTGGCCTTTGCAATGCGTGAGCTGACGTCAGTTTCTATGCGCCCATCATTGCTGATGCAGCTGCCAAGATAAGTGAATTGATCAACTACCTCGAGTTCCTCATTAGCAAGCGTCAAGGGGTCATCTAGGGGATGGTGGTCCTGCAGCAACACTTTGTACTTTGAAGGTGCGAAGTGCATACCAAATAATGGAACCACTCTGGATAGGCTATTCAGGGTTGATTGTGCCGTCGCAACATTGTCGAAAAGCAAGATGATATCGTCCGCATAATCAAGATCAACTAACCTTTCACCAGGCAGCACTTCAACGCCTACATCTTGAAATTCCGCAAGGGAACACTCCATGATAGAATCCAGGACGAAATTGAACAAAAACGGGGAAATCGGACAACCCTGACGAACGCCACTTGTAGTCGAAAAGCTATCCGATAGGGCACCATAGACCCTGACACGGCCTGTAGTGTTCGAGTATAGGGCACGAAGCATGTTCACATATTTCGTGGGAACACCTTTTCGCGCAAGTAATTCGAACAGAATCGATCGATCGACTGAATCGACCGCACTCTTGAAATCGAGGAACACAGTTATTGTCGGTCTGCGGTATGCGTGGCGTTGCTCTAGCACCTGCCGCAGTGAATATATGGTCTATACAGCCACGTCCTGGGCGAAAACCGGCCTGCTCTTCCCTAATCCGAGATTCCCGTTCCACAGTGAGGCAACGAACGAGAATCGAGGCCAGTAATTTTGTCACAACTGGCGTTAGGCTAATACCCCTGTGATTCGCACCGTCTGTGCGACTGCCCTTTTTGTATATTGCCACTATAATCGATTCGCTCCAATCAGCAGGGACATTCTCTTCATCCCAGATACGTTCGAATAGGGAGGTCAATGTTTTGCAGAGGAGCTCACCTCCATCCTTAAATAGTGCAGGTGAGAGGGAATCCGGGCCAGCGGCACGAAAACGATAAAGGGCTGTGATCGCATTTCGAACATCGGCCTCCGATGGAGGCTCTACACTAACCGTCCATGGCTCGTTCCGCATCACCTGAGTAGGAAGAGGTCCGGGAGCACGGGGCCAGCTGAACTGATCTTCAAAGTGTTCCGCCCAACGAGCCATACGGCGCTCCTTATTGTGTATCAGCGCACCCGCGCTGTCTCTGATTGTCTCACTGACGCCTGGTTTTCTGGGACCAGTGGTGCGGATTAGCTGGAAGAGCCTCCGGTAATTGCCTACTGCTCCTGCCCCCTCCATTTCTTGAGCCCGACTGGTCCACCAGGCTTCCTTGTCAGCACGTAGGCTCCGCTTTAGTACACGCCTAATAGCCCGTTTGGTCACATTGTGTTCAGAGCCAGCCGGGAGGTGTCTTCTAGATGCCAACAGGTTCACCGACCTCTCGGATATCCAGCGACTGGTGCGGTGACGACTGATAGTGCCACAAGCAGATGCTCCTGCGTCGTGCATAGCGGCCGAGATCCTATTCCACTGAAGTTCAGTGTCATTAGGACAAGACAGCGAGAGTTTGGTATGCAGTGCTTCTTGATAGGCTTGCCTGATAGAGCGCTGGGACAAATTCTCCTTTGCCAATAGGAAGAGACTCTTGGTGCGCCTTCCGGTAAAGTTCATGGAGAAACGACAACGTACCAAGGCATGATCAGAGTCGACACAGGTACTCCAGTACGAGCGGCAATCCAGAATGGAACCATGCCACCTGTAACTTATGGCTATGTGGTCAATTTGGGTCCATCGCTGGCCAGCTACAGGTGGACGCCAAGTGGCACTTCGGCGCCCACTGTGTCTAAAAGCAGTGCTACTAAGAAACAACTGGTGTTCCGCATACAGTTGCAGCAGACGCTCGCCATTCTCAGTCCGTTCAGAGTTAAGTCCATACTTACCACCCAGCTGAGCTTCTGAAGAGCTCAGACGCCCTACTTGTGCGTTCATATCCCCTGCAAGTACTATAATATCTGAACTAGTAGTACTGCGTAGCAGCGTGTTCAGTTTGTGATAGAACGTGTGCTTGACTGCATTAGAACTGCAGTCGGTGGCAGCATAAGCAGAAATCACAAACAAACAGCGTTTTGTTTTACTTCGCGAATTCACCTTAGCTGATGTAGTCAAACGGGCTGCACATAAACGGCTGTTCACCGGAATCCAATTAACCAACGATGACCCAGCCTTGCAGCTGTGAATGATACCTACACCAGCTTGACCCGTGAGTGCCGCATCGGCGTCTCCGGATGCGTGCAACCAATAACGAGAGGATAAACCGGGTGCAGTTAATTCAATAACCGCGTTATGGTCATTAATCCTAGTTTCGGAAACACAACACACATCAATACCTAGTGTGTCCAAGGTGCGTGAGAGTG